TTAATTTCTGTAAGAAAACAATTTTCATTCCCCTAAGGTCTGCTGTAAAGTGTTAAAGAGTAAGGGTGTCATTTTGAGGACTGAGATATACTTGGCTCCATTGTGGTGTTTTCAATTGCTTCATATGCATGTGAAAGTTGGACAATAAATTAGAAAGACCAAAGAACCAACAAATGATTGATATATTTCAATTGTCATGCTGGCAAATAATATTGAAAGTACAATGGTGAATTCCTATTGCAGATTTCTGACTCGGGGGTAGCACTTGGCACCCCATGTGAACTGATTTGGGGTTACTCACAAGGAAGTCACAAAGGCATAATGGGTGGGGGAGGCACTAGACTGTTCTATCCCTGACTGTAGGAATATCAAAGGGGGCTTTTAGGATGCACACCTTTTGGACACGAATGCTGAAGATTAAAAGGGGGTATGTGTTGCTAGGTAAGGGGGACCTGGGATATGGAACCTTGAAGGAAATGGTGATTGGTCTGATGGTTCCTAACATATCCATCTCTCGGTTTAACAGAGAAATATTCATCTGCTCAATGTCAGGATCCCTGTGAGACTTGTGACTATCTGTATGTTCCAGGCTTTTGGTGTTTATACAAGATAGGCAAGATAGTCCATCTTATAACAGTGACTGGACTGACAGTTCCTGGGAGGCATGGGAGGGAACGAGGCAGTGGGGAGGTAAGTGATGAGCCAATAATGATGGGTACAGGGGAACAGTAAGTGTTCTAAAACTGATGGTGAAAAGTTGATGGAGTTTTTCTGGTCCTGCTGGATCAATCGGATTGCATCAGGGAGGAATTAATGAGAGGTGAACAATGGTAAACATGATAGTGGGGCAGGAGGGAAACAAGAAACCGAGGAAAGAAGGAAAATATATATTTATATGCAAACATAAATATGTGTATTTGTTTATATATGTACAAATGCAACAAGGAGGCAGATGGACTTTGGGCCTCTACTGAAATCTTTCCTCAATACAAGAACAACTTGTTCTAATAATGTGGCATTGTATGATACTTACCTCCCTGACACGATCACGGAAGACAAAATGGGTGCATAAGCAAATGTGGTGAAGAAAGCTGATGGTGCTTGACCATTAAAAGATAAAGCCTCTGGGATCTTAAAGGCTTGTAGTTAAACAAGTGTCCACCTAGCAAGGAAGCAACAAACACAAATGTTTTCAAACTGCTTGTGGTAGCAATTGTGCAATACTGTTTGATGTGATTGAACTATGAAATGTTGGGATAATTGTAAGACTCATAATAAAATTTAAAAAAAAACAGAAAAATTTTAATTTAAAAAAGGTACAATGAACTTCTGGCATAAAAAACATATCTCTCTTCTGGAAGAAATACAGCCAGAATGTGCCTTAGACAGGAACATCAGGCTTGGGCAAATAGAAGGTCAGAGCAAAAGAGGAAGACCCTCAAGGAGACGGATGGACATGTGGTTATAACAGAGGACTCAAACACACCTGTCCCCGTGAGACTGGCGCAGAACTGGGAAATGTCTGGTTCTCTTGTACTTAGGGTGAAGTGTTAAGTCGGATGGTCCAGAGAAATAAATCCAGTGACAGTCATCTACATATAAGGAAGAACTTTATATCAAGAAGCAGTTATATATCAAGAAGGCATCCCAGTGCAGTCCAACTCAGTCCATAAGTCTGATGTTGCTCTGTAAGTCCTTCTTGAGATGCACATAGCTGCGTGCAGTGATGCATAATGGTGAACCAGGAAGCAGGAAGACCACATGCTGATGGGTACAGAGTCGCATGGATCCAGGGAAACATGGCAGGCTGCCTTCCACCCTCAGGGTTGGTGGCAGAGTCCCCTCAAGGAAGTGATGTCACAGAGAGAGAGGGAGGTTCCCAGTTTCCCTAACTTACAAAAAGGCCACACCCCCAAGGAGGCATCATCAGGCTGTGACCTAATAGACAGATTGGATTCCACACCTAAACTTTCATATATCCGCAAGTTAACACACAGTCATTGAACTATTACAGATAGCGATGAGTCAGAACAAACTTTATGGCACTTAACAGCAACAACAAGGTGTTAAACCTATCTGCATTAACCACTGGTAATAGTCCAACTCAAAGCCTTTGGAATTCAAAGCACAACTATTATTCTATAAAGAACCCAGCTCTTGAAATTAAATTGATTTTTCAAAACCTGTTTTAAAATTCAAAGTAAAAGTTGGATACTTTTTCTGGGCCCAGTACTGTGATCAAAAGAAGCAAGGGTATCTAATGCAATTGGTTGAGGGCAATGAAGCAGCAAAAATTTCCAGAAATTAATTTGAGTCAGATTACATTTTACAATAGTATCTTGTTGTCCTACCATAATCATTTGAATAAAATGAGAGTTCAATTATTATTATTCTTCAGTGAGGGAAAAGCATACTTAGCATTTCTCATACTGAAAACTAAAGAAAAATTCATGACCTGAGTTGTAACATTGAAGAATTCTATGGGCAAAATATTAATCAAGGCAGGAAGCATCCAAAGCAATGCACTCCAGTGAAAGCAATAAACAGCATCACTGTACTAAAAAGTATTTTTCAATGACCATCCATCTCAGGAAGTAGCATATGATTAAGAAATGACAGTACTGGAAGAAGTCCAAACTGCATTGGAGGAAAGTAAGACACCAGAATTTTGTAGAATACCAACTGAGATGTTTCAACAAGCCTATGCCGTGCTAAAGCTGCTCATTTTTTATGTCAAGAAGTTTGGGAGAAAGCTACCTGGCCAACCGATTGGAAGAGATTCATATTTGTGCCTATTCCAAAGAAAGATGACCAAAGGAATGCACACATTATTGAACAACACCATACCCAAGTAAAATTTTGCTGAAGATAATGAAAAAAATGGTTGCAGTAGTATATCGACAAAGAGCTGCCAGAAATTCAAGCTGCACTCAAAAGAGAATGTGAAATAGGGATATCATGTCCAATGGATCTTGATTGAAAGCAAATAATTCCAGAAAGATGTTTGCCTTTTGTTGTTGTCGACTACACAAAGACCTTTGGCTGTGTGAAGCACAAGAAACTGGACAGGATTAGGGAAAATAGGAATTCTAGAACACTTAAATGTGCTCATAAAGAACCTGTACCTTGATCGAGATGCAGTAATTTGAACAGGATAAGGGGCAACTTCAAGGTTTAAAATCAGGAGAGGTGTGTATCAATGTTGTATTCTTTCACCATGCTTATTCAGTCTTTAGGCTGAGCAAATAATTTGGGAAACTGGACTGTATGAAGAACAAGGCACTCAGGATTAAAAGAAGGCTCAATTAGCAACTTGTGTTGGTGTGTTAGGTGGGGTTCTCTAGAGAAACAAAATCAGTACACTTGTGATTATATATATAAAAGGATAGGTTTATACAGCAAGAAGGAATGCAACAACTAATTAGTCCACAGCAGTAGAGAGGACTCTCAGTTCAACTCACTTTCATGGAACAGTGAATAAACTGAAGGTCCTTCAACTCATGACGGCTGCCAGTTCAAGGTTAATGAAGCAGACAGCAGAGTCTTCCCGCAGGCAAGACAGACAGGAAGAGAGCAGGGTGGGGCAGCAACAGTCAGCACAGGAGCTTAGCAAAACAGGTCCCAATAGGGTCTTGAACTTTAGTGATGTACAAAGGGGACATGAGCCACCAGTAGCATGGCAAAGCAGGTCTCCGTCCCAAAGGAACCTCAAGTTTCAGTGATGAACAGCAAGCGGCAGGATTCACTGTTGGCTCAACCCACGGGTAGCGCAGCACACGATTGAGGCAAAGAACAAGGAGCAGCATGCTGGTCCAATCACCAGGGAGAAAGAGAGATGGAATGCCGGCCTTGGAAAGCATTTATCTCTGTAGCCCTCCAATCAAGGTATGACCTGGTTAAACTCCACCCACATGTTCCTATGGAGGCCTAATTGGTACAATAAACCTATCACAGTTGTGCAGATGGCACAAACTTACTTGTTGAAAGAACATTTATTGATGAAGATCATAGACTACTGCCTTCATTAGGATTACAACTCAATGTTAAGGAAAGAAAAGTCCTCAATAAGCTGGTCCAATAAATATTATCATGATAAGGAAAGGACTGAATTTGTCAAGGATTTTGTTTTTCTTAGAGCCACAATTGACA